CCAAGGGAATGTGCAGATATAAATATTTTGGAGTAATAAAAAAATCAGGTTCATATTTATCCCATTGTCAAAAATGGCTCGAGACATTTTAAGTTCAACTGCCTCATTCATGCCAGTAGAAAGACTTTTCTCAATAGAACTCTGACTATGTCAAAAAATAGAACCAGATTACAAAGTAAATCTTTAAAAGCACTAATATGCATCAATTCCTGGGTGAAATGCTCTTTAATGTCTAAAATTTGCGAGTTTGATTTCTAATTTATAAAAATGTTATATTGTATTAATATTAAATGTTTTTAAATTTACCAATATAAATGTTTTTATTGAATAAAATTTTTTTTAATTAGTATATAGTTTAGTATATAGATTATTTAGTATATAGATTAGTATATAGATTTGTTTTCATTTACAAATATAAATATTTTAGTTTTTTTGAGAACCAAGAATCTTGATAAGACTAATAATCTTGACAGTCTTAGTCTTGATATTGTCTTGATAATTAATTAAAAATCTTGTCTTGATCTTGAAATTGAAGACAAGATAATATCAAGATTAATCTTGGTATCTCGTGCAACCCTATAAGACAGACTATTATAATAAAGAATCACATAAAGTGGCAAATGTACGTGTTTCTTTTCGTCAATTGGAATGTAATCGATTAAATATATATTTTTCATCGAACCATAATGGACTATATCCCAGCGAATTTTGCGTTAAATGTCGGATGCGAGGATACTCGAATAAGCGGTACCATGAAATAGGCACCACGGCCTTCCATTTGTTCCTTCGCGTAAACTCGTTTCTCTGTTCCGCGAGGCTGAGGCGCGCTAGGACGGTAAATTAGGGACTGCATAATATATTCCCTCCCGTGACGGCGGCACAGAGTGAAAATTCTGCTTAAAAATTCAAAACTTGGAACGAGAGACCTAATATGCGCGCCGTGCGAACTATCGCTCATGGGGCTCTGAAAATGTAAGGAAGAGAAATGACTCTTATGACAGAAACTCAGAAATTGGACGAAGCAAGATAAAGGCTCCGCCAAGTTTGATAATGGAATAGCCCGTTACTTTTATTTTGCATGCCGCGAATAAGGGAGAAATACAATTTTCGAGAATGCGATGAAAATAATTAATATTATATTCTATACATTTTTAAGATATAAAAGAATTAATAAAGTATTTAAGTATCGTATATATATTTTAATAATATTCGTGCTTACTTGATATTTTCTCTGAGAAATTTATAAACTATCGTTAATTTTTCTCGTTATAAAATATTCATCTCCAATTATAAATTTGCATATATTATTAAGCAAATTTTAAAAACTGATAAAAGATTAGTAAGATAATTACGGCAGACGTATCTCGAGTAATCGAAAGATGCAGTGATGGAATGTTTTAAGAGTAAAAATTATTTCTCTCAGGGAACGTTTCGTATGAAATATTATTCATCTCTCCTCGAGAAAACTATTATTCAACGGATATTTTCTGTCCCAGCGGATAGTCGCAGGCATTACAACGGTCTGCTATATAAAATCAATAGCTCCCGTGCGAGTTAACGAAAAAAAAAGTGAATTAGTAATAGCCGATCGATGGTATCGTTGCTGCTTTACTAAAGCTTATTTTATGCACACGATCTCGGAAATAATAATTTGGTCAATCAAAGCAGAAAAAGAGATAGAAAGAGAGAGTCTGGATCTCGACGCAAATTGTTTTATCGATCGACCATGTCGAAAAGTCGAGAGAGGAATTTGGAAATATTCAAGCGTCGTCAGGGCAAAAGAGGGCGAACGGATCGACGCTTTCTCTATGGCTGACAGACTGGAAAGAAAATTCATCCGCGATTCGCTCAGTTTTAATACGTTCGGACAGCCGGCGTATATGCATCCCCGTTTCCGCTTTCCGGCGCGCGTTGTTCTCACTGACATCCTCTTCCGCGTCGCTCGCCCCCATCTCCTCCGCAAATATTCTCGCCGATCCTTCAATACCTGGCCCAAACCGACGATGCCGAGGGAAGTCCACTGGAAACGGACGCGCTTTCTGGAGCGCGAAATTGTCACGTGATCCCCCTCGTGTTCTGCATACGCCAACATCTTCGTCGCGCTTGAGTTTGTTTTTTTTTTTTCTCATTTTATCTCGGAAGTATTCAATTACACAGGCCTGCGAGGTTTTAGGAATTTTGTGCGCTGAATCCGAATCTGATCGCCGAATTTGCGTAGCACGTCATGTTTTTAAGTAATTTGTAATTGAATGGCTCAGAAATCGCTATTTTGCCCAATTTCATGAATTTATTGCGGGGAAACCAAATTTTTTGAAATATTTCTGCCAATGGCGTCGTATAATATTCACTTTTGCCTTTCAAATTTACTTTCGATTACCGCCGCACGATTTTTTTTGCTGAGATATATAAGTATAACGTCGTAAGAAAATTTACGTTAAAGAAAATTTATATAGACATTGATATGGTAGATCCATGATCTTGAAATTTAAAAAGACTGACATATGCCAGATTCGGTTAGCCAAAAAAGAAATATCTAATACAGTTGTTATACATTTTGATAAATTTTTCTAAATTTTATGCCTTTTTATTGTGATTCTATTCGCCATATTGGATGCGCCATTTTTAATTTCAAAAGGTGACAGAAGATATTTAAAAATGTATATTTTTATCGTAATTTTGATTCGTAATGAGATAGAGAGGTGGCACGGTTTAGAATGGCTTATTGAATCCCTATGCATGACCAGTCTTACAACTTGTATATCTGAGCAAAAAAAAATCGCGCGGCGGTAATCGAAAGTGGATTCGAAAGATGAAGGTGAGCACTATACGATACAATTGACAAAAATATTTAAAAAAATTTGATTTACTCACAATAAATTCATGTAATTGGCCAAAATAGCGATTTTTGGGCTATTCAACTACAAATAACTCAAAAACCTGACATGCTACTCAAATTCGGCGGCCAGATTTGGATTCATCGCACAAAATTACGTCAAAAATCACTATTACATCTTTAAAAAAAATGTTGACCTCCTTTTTTGCAGGCCTGTGTTATTCATTTTAATAGAAGATTAGTACGAATTTTCGTCGATATATCACGGAATGGTTTTTCTGCAATATATTCTTCGCCTTTTGCAGACTATAGGATATAATTAACAGAATATAATTAATATATTGGATTGAGAAAGAGATTTTGCAACCATTATTATTTCTCCAATATTTAATTTTATCTCCATCAAGTGCAAAATAATTATGGCAATGTCCCATTTAATTAAAGCAGCTGTTAGTCTTAATTACATAAGTAATATCTTAACTATATTGCGAAAATTGATTCACCAGCGCAGTGCTTTAATTATGAATAAATTATTCAACATTTTCTTCCTCAGCTCAATAGTCAATTTTCTAAAATTGTAAAGTACGCATGTATTGCGAAACGTAAAAGCATAATTTAGAAAATTATTGAAGTTGAAAGCAGATGCGATCTATGCGCTATATATGTGGTAATACGCGAACGTGTATACGTTTCTTGGTAAAAGACGGGTAAATCTACGAAATGCAATCACCTTTCGTGTCGCACCTGCGTCAGTTCTGTTATTTATAAGTAAAACGGATTTCCTACGTCGGAAATAACCACTCAAAGTTATTGCTAACGCAATAGAAGGGTAAGACGAACATAGATTTCTTATTGAACATGAAATTCGTTGCATGCGATGTAAATTTCTAACATCAAACTAATCATTGTATATTATACATCCATAAAAAAAATAACATTTACTTATTTTTGCTCGTTTGCGATAATGAAATGATCAATGAAATAAAATCAATCTCTTTTAACGTTTGTCCCTATTATTTTTTTAATTACTATTATGTATGCACGTTATATTATAATTCTAAAAAATAAAAATCGTCTAGAAAAGAAAGAGATTTTGAGATTCATGTTGACAGAAAATAATGTCTAGTAAAATATCGCTTGTCATTTGCATAAAATCGAATTTTAATTTACGGTAATAAAAAGATAATAAGAAGTAGATAAAACGTAAGTAATAATGCGTATAATATGTCTAATATTATTCTCATTTATATAATAGTAGATACACATCTTTGTTTACATACTTTGTCTACACGCTTTGGCGTATGACGTAATGGGGAGAAACTCACCCACTCTAACGAGAAACATCGAAAAGGGAGTTAGAATAACAATCGACGTGTAGAAAGACAATACGATTGTTATCATTCAGTAAATGTTCGTACGTTGAGAAAATATATTATATTGTCCATTAATAAAATTTTTTCTTTTTACAGCGTTCGAAAGTAATTTCAGAGCTCTTTAAACTAGTTTTGCTTATATCTAGGTATCAAAAATTTTGATGATAATTTATATAATAAAACATGAATAAAATATAATATAATAGGACATGATGATTTGCGAATAATTTAGAAATTTCTTAAATTTTATCCGAGTATATTCAGATTAGTACAATCTTTTATTGATAGAAACTTGTACTGACCTAAACATGCTTGCTTCGGTTGTTTTAAAAAGTGCTCAAATTTATATTTTATTTATTTGTGAATTAATCTAAGTTTATCAGAAATAAAAATTTGAAATTGAATCAAGTATATTTGATAAAAGTATTGTTATATTGATTTTCGAATATATGAATATACATTAGTTATAACTCTTAATATCTTACTGGTAAATTTTTGTATAATAAATTTATTATTAAATTTATTATTACTGGCAAATTTATTTATCACAATTGATTATGCAATAGATTTAATTATTTTTCATCAAATTTTAATGACTCGTAATATTTCAAAGAATTCTATATAAATATTATACATATATTAATAATATATTACATAATGTATATTTTATAGGTTATTGCTGATAGCGGGCAGTAAAAAGTTAAACATGCTATTCCGTTTCAAAATTTTTACGATCGTAAAATCAATGGAAACTACGGATGACAGCTACTAAATCAATATTTTTACTGTTATAGGGCCGCCATTGTCTGTAACAGCGGTTCTCGAAGGGACGGCCGAGCTACCATGCGACATTCGTCCACCTCATCGCAACGATTCCGCTATCCTAGTCGTCTGGTACAAGAGTGACGTCATCCCGATCTACAGGTAAGCTCTTAATCCTTGCTTTTTATAGTTATTCAGCAGAACTCTTACAAGTGAAGCGTATCACATGCAAAGAATCGTTAAATGCAGGGGCTACACCTATGAAGTCATAGTTTACACCGTATCTGATATATTATCTGGTTCGATTCGCGTTAATTTTTCATAAAACATTAAATCTGATTTAACGATATTCTGAAACTAATCGAAATTTAAATTTTTAATTTAATTTTATTTATTTAAATTTAAATTCGACATATTCTCAAAAATGCAATATCAAAGTTTAATAAAGTACATACGAACTTTTTACCCAATACCTATATCTATGTACGACGAAAATAAAAGCAGGGGAACATATCAGGAAAGCAAAAGAGGCGATGTTTTATTCAATGCTATAATGATTAATTATTTCTTTCCTTTTCACATCGTTTGCCCACTCTTATCACTCATCTTTTCCTGCCGCATTGGGGTTAAAAGTTACCGCCACGTACAGAATCGTATAAAAAATAATGCCAGCGCCCCAGATACAGAACGTAAGGCGGGCAAGGTGCGCGGTTATACGAAATTGGCGTAATAAAAAAGTTTTGCGGCTTTTTTTATTCCTTTTTTATATTTAATTGATAATTATTTCTTCGCGCTGCGCTCATTCGCATTCGCCTTTATCACTTATCTCCTCGTCCCTCCTCGTATCGGGGTTAAAGTTACCACCGCGGCGCGGCCGCATAAAAAGCGAACCACCCTGGGATAATACAAGCCGTGACCCGCGCTCGTTAAACGTCACGATAAGGGCGACGATAGGAAGAAGTCCCGCGCAAAGCCTGGTCCACGTAAGCGATATTCACACGCGTGCTACACTCGCGTGTATCGAGTTGCGGTGCCGCTTTCGTGTGTTGCGCGAGCGAACCGTCGATTTCTCGATGGCTGAGCACGATACGAGCCGGCCCCTTTGCGAAAATGTGAGCTCGACCGAGCACACGAATCCGAGAAGGCGAGAGCAAAAAATATACAAACCAAGAGAGGCCGGCTAAGGGTGACTCTCATATTTACGACCTCTCTCCGCAAACATTCCGCCGACCGAATTATTGCGAGCGTATTAAGCGGGGGCGTATCTATGTCGGCTGACTAATGAAATTTAAATTGTAGGTCTGCCATTATCAAGAAACGCCAGAAAAATTTGGCTCGCATTTATTTTCCAACTTTTTACATACCATGTATCATGTGCAACATATGAGGAAAGGGATAATATTCTTCTTTAATATATCGTTCTTGTGTTTGGGACGATAAAAAAAAAGATTAATCTTGGGATCCCGAAAAGTCGTCGTCTTAAGGGAGGATTCTCATGTTAAAACGCGGATTAAAATATCGATTTTTTTTCTCTGCTTAAATCAGTTCTAATACATGTGGAAGGCCATTCTACAGATGGCCCTGAAATCGTCGATTAGGGCTGTAAGTATTAAAAAGTATTACTTTTTATAACCAAAAACTTTAAACGCGTTTTTTTCAAAAGCACTTTTTTTCAAACCGGTGGGCAGGATAACTAAAAAAATATTTGACCAATTGGTTTCTTCCAATATTACATGTAGAAAATACATTTTTCATCGAATGAACCACAAAAATTAACATAAATTTTAAAGTAAATAATTTTTATTTCACAATAAAGATGAACATTTTTATGGAAAAATTGCAAGTTTTTTTTTCAAATATCGCTATTTTTTTCAATTTAGTTTTCTTTCTTGCTCAATCAGGTTCAAGCGATGCGTAGTGATCTATAATTAATAAATAATTTTTATTTTTCTAGTTTAGACTATTACAGCGGATGCTAGACTGCACACCGTTGCCGCCAAAATACACTACTAAAGTTTGAGATATTTTGGCGAAATACTTTCTTTAAAAAAAATTTCAAAAATCTGCTTCTTTTTTTAGCTGTTTACTTGAGAATCCCCCCTTAATATCACAACAAGTTTCTCGTAATCGTATGAAAATGCAATTAAACGCAGTTTCGCGAAATATAATCAAGCACCCCAAACATCAACTCCGGCATCGGTGTAATTAACTCCATGTTAGCATAAAACAAATAGCAACTGAGTTAGGGAGGGGGTGGGGGAAAATCGGTTATACTGGGACTTCCTAAACTTTCCTAGGTCAATCTCGAAAGTTTCGTACCGAAAAGTTTTGCCGCGTCTTTGATATTACGCCGAACGCCTAAACGTAAATACATGACGGAGCAAATATAAGTTTAAGTGAATATTCGGAAACGCATTTGTGCTGTACGCAAGTCCTCAAGACGAATCTCGAGAATAGCAGTTGGAGGGACATTTTTCGTCGCAAATATTATTCTTGGATCGCGCGAGGGAAAGCACTCGCACGAGTCCCGGACTAGTAAAAGATTGTTCGTTGACACGCCGGCGATAGCCAGATAAAATCGTCGGATCGCGAGCCACAATTCACAACGTCGAATTGAAAGTCCGAATGAAAAAGCGACGGGTCGTTTGTTTGACGTTTCCCTCGATACGCTGACCGCAATCAAATCGGCAGGCATAGTCACACACTCGTCAGATAAATTTCTCCATTCTCCGCAATTGGCTGTCTGTCCCTCGAATAAAGTTGCAGACAAGACGAACGCGCCGGAACTGCTCGTTTCGCGTAAGCTTTCCAGATTTCGACAATACAAGAAATACATAAACTCAGATTATGTGTTTCACGCATCTCAGAATCGCGTGTATCGAAAACTTCAAGGACAAGAAAAGATGTTACATATGTGGGAAAAGATCTTTATTTAGGAAAAAAATTTGTATTTTTTCTTTATCTTTTCTTTTAAGAGATGTAACTCAGAAATTTAAGACGAAATCTGCTTATTTAAATTTAAAGAAGAAAGAAATAAAAAAGATGATTGGTTAATAAGACATTTTAATTATGGAGTTTATCTCGAAACTTTCGTCATGAGAGAAAAATGTAGATAAAACATGAAATAGACAGATAAAATCTTCAAGGACAAGAAAAGATGTTACATATGTGGGAAAAGATCTTTATTTAGGAAAAAAATTTGTATTTTTTCTTTATCTTTTCTTTTAAGAGATGTAACTCAGAAATTTAAGACGAAATCTGCTTATTTAAATTTCAAGAAGAAAGAAATAAAAAAGTTGATTGGTTAATAAGACATTTTAATTATGGGGTTTATCTCGAAACTTTCGTCATGAGAGAAAAATGCAGATAAAACATGAAATAGACAGATAAAATCTTCAAGGACAAGAAAAGATGTTACATATGTGGGAAAAGATCTTTATTTAGGAAAAAAATTTGTATTTTTTTATCTTTTCTTTTAAGAGATGTAACTCAGAAATTTCAGACGAAATCTGCTTATTTAAATTTAAAGAAGAAAGAAATGAAAAAGATGGTTGGTTAATAAGACATTTTAATTATGGAGTTTATCTTGAAACTTTCGTCATGAGAGAAAATGTAGATAAAACACGAAATGGACAGATAAATGGAGAGAAGAAAACAAAGGATGATGCTGTAAAATATTAGATTTTGTATATATATTCGCAGATTAGAGCATGTATGTATATAGAAATTAAATTTCGGAATTTTATGGTATCAAGAGTGATCTTTTTCCGCTCGGATTTTCAAACTGACAGTTATATAAGCTATAATTGAAGCTGTCTGTTTCGATTTCATTATTACTTGGTGGACAAAATTTTGCTCTTTCTGTCTGTCACGTCTAAATTGGGAAAGGATCAGAAAATGTCCTGTTAAATGACTAGCACGACCTAAAATAGACAGATGACTGCAACGGGTATTGCAGCTTCCAGAGATCTGTACGGTCGCTTATTAATTTATAGACCACTGAGAGACGGTGCGATCTCAATCAAGTTAATTCGCGGTAATCAGTTTGACATCTCGTCGCTCTTTTCATTAAGGTAATGCGAATGTAGCATCGATTAATGGGAAACCGGCGCGTTGGGACAGCCGTGGGAATTACAATGCACATAAAGCCATAAGCAACATCGATACTTCTGTCTGTTAACTTTGGCGACAATCGTAAATCGTTTATATCCTCTGCCGGATATGCTGATGTTCTCGATGAATTCTGTCGCGCGAATGTCCCTTCCGGAACTACTTTGCTAAAGTCGCGAGACGAAGGAATCGCGGGCTACAAAGCTCGAAGAAAAAGAGAGGAAGACGCGAAAAAATTGGGAAAAAACTTGCTGGTGTATATAAGGTGGTGTATACCCATTGAAAGACATTCCGCAAGATAATGGTGTATCGCACCGATCGGTGGCACGATTTAAAGGGGGCTACTTTGTCACAAACGCCGATCATATTTCACGGTCGCGATACGTACGTTGTTCGTCACGTAACCGATTTTCTCCATAACGGTTTTCGTCCGGCATTGAAAACGTCGCGGGTGGATCCGCCTCGTAAATCACGTTAGATTGTAAAATTGACGCGAGTCGATAAATATATATCCGACCGCGCGGGTTACGATGACATTGTACGTCTCTCCGTACGTCGTATCGATCTGAAGGAAAGTGTTATGTGGGAAGAAATATGGAATTATTGTGGGTTATCTTCAGCGCAGGTTTTTAGCGCCGAATTTATGGCTGTGAATCGCATACGATACTAACCGTTAATGTCAAATGTCAATTTACATATTAGAAACATAAATATTTGAATTAAGACAGATCTCGATAGGTAATATTCAGGGAACTGAACTTTTCGCGTTTTATGTTGACTGTTTTTTGCGATTCGATTCCAAAATTTCGCATTTTATCGCGTTTTACGTGATTCTCCATTATTTTCTAGTTGAAACGAATTACACAGGCCTGCAAAAAAGGAGGTCAAAATTTCTTTTTAAGATGCAATAGTGATTTTTGACGTAATTTTGCGCGCTGAATCTGAATCTGGCCGCCGAATTTGCGTAGCACGTCAGGTTTTTGAGTGATTTGTAGTTGAATAGCCCAAAAATCGCTATTTTGGCCAATTTCATAAATTTATTCTGAGTAAAC